TGTTCCTCGAAATAAAAGTTGACAAGGAGTGCCTTGAAGCCATCTTTAGTTTCATTCTCTGTGAGGCTAAAACTTTTTTTGACTCCTAGCCCACACACTGAATTGTGAAAAATTCACAATAGCTGTTTTTGGCATTTTCTAACCCTGTTGTCAGTGCCAAAACAGCAAAAGATTTTGGGCACCATGAACTCATAGAAACATTAATATTGCAGTGTGGCAACTGGAGAACAGAAGTTCTGTTTTTTGTGTTTGTGTTTAATAATTGAAGTTACCTGTGGAGGGAGCAGGAGGTGGTGCCAGGCATGAATGAGACTCTCTATTATGCCCTCTCCAAATAATCCTGCATCTACAGTCTCTGTCACCACCAAGGATACCCTAAGAAAAATAAACATTGAATGGAGAAGCAGGAAGAAAAATTAGTGAGTACTTATAACAGCATTAACAGAAATAAAGGTTGTGTGCTTGTAGCATCACTGTAAAATATCTTTTGGTATAAACTTGCACCTGTGAGGAATGTCCTTTGGCACCTCCATCTCCAGAGACTTCATATGGATGATCTTTATGCTACCATCCATCCCATTAGCAGTCAGTACCTCACAGGCCAATTCATACATCGTCTTCGACAGCTCACAGGCGTACACCTCAGCAGCTCCTGCCTTCTTTGCACACATACTTCACACAGAGAAACAGGAAATCAGACCAACAAAACCCACACGTTAAAACACGGATCCTACTCTAGTTGTAGCGACTGCTGTACCACCAAGTGTGGTTGATAAGGACCGAGCTCTAACTTACAAATAAACTACACTCCGCAACGTAAAAAATAGAGAGTTTCCAAGTTCGCATGGAAAATATCTCACCCAAGGATCCCAGTGCCAGTACCTATGTCAAGTACAGTGTTGCAGCCGCTGTGCACAGCCTTCTGAATAGCTTGCTGGTACTTCTGATTCCTCTCGTGGTCGTTAAGCATTAAGAAATGCCAGCGCTCCACCAGCCAGTTGGCCACACGGTAGAAGTTCTCCCTGGCCTCTGGATAGTCTGGTCTTAGCTTCAAGGCTTTATGGAAATGACCCGCTGCTTCATCTCTGAAGCCCATCCTGGATGAGAAAGGAAGAGCCACAATATTGTCAAACACAGCATAAAGCAAAAAAATTGCATAAATAATGCCCTACATATTGATAGCATTTATGCAGATGAGGATGATACCTGAACAGGTGTTCGCCCATGCTGTTCAGGATGACCTCATCAGCAGGAAACAGCTCCAGCGCTTGTTCGTAACAGTCAAAGAGGTCCTGAATGCGACCCACAGAGTCCAGCTCCTCTGTCCATTTGAAGAGAGTGAACCTGAAGGACTCCTAAAAGGAAGATGTCACAAATCCAGCTCCAAAATTAAACACCTTTTCAGACTGTATGATTGTGGTTATGCGTGGACAATATTTGACAGTGCATGTACGCAGATGGGGTTATCAGAGTAGTGTAAACAGTCATTACCCTCGCAAAGTCCTTAAACATAGGTGCAAGATTCAGGACCAGAAGGTAGTGCACAAATGCAGTCCCATAATCTTGGTTGAAGAGGCACTGCTGGGCACTTTCTAGGGAGCTAGAGACCAGCTCGTTCCTGGCAGGGTCCTCTCTTCGTCGCCTGCGTGTCCTCCTGCCATGCTTTGGCTTTGCACTGGCATTAGGCATCGCTTATAAGACAAAAAGGAGAGTCTGTTAGTTAATGATAATGTCTGATATTACAAATTAATGCCACTTTTAATAAGACAATCAGGTTCCACATGTGACTCTGTGCTGTAATGTATGGCTGTAGACTGAGTGATATAATTAAAAAACTAAATCAACAACAAGCCAACTTTGTTGTTTCTTGGTCAAAATCATGACATGTGACCTCATGATTATGTAGGCAAAATTTTGGTTGACTCAGAGGGTCTTATATTTTTTAATTACCCTACATACTTTTGTTATGCCAAAATATAATTAATCTATTTTTATTTTCCTGGAAATATGGGCACCCATACATGCAGATATTTCTGTACAGTAACATTAACAACAATAATCATAAAAATAACGTCAACTTAAAAAGGAAATATGCCGTAGTAAGAAATGAGTAGCAATAAGTAAGACAGTGTTGATAAAATAAACGCTGACAGTAATACTTTAAACAAAATGCTAAGTACTTTAAAAGCATTTCTGATAATTTAACTCGACTTACCGTCTGTTGGTTTATATCACAGGTTGGGAATTATGGGATGGAGACACACAGAAAATATCACTGCCTTTTAGCTACGGTGATAATTTTCCAAATACACAAACGTTAACATCACGGCCGTTAGCATCGTTGCAGGCGGTCCGTCCTCTAACAGCATCCCAATGTTAGCTTACATGCTAAAAGCTGCTCGACAGCCGCTGCGATACTTTAACTGCTTGTCAAAAAATGACCGTTACTGTTTAAATCAACGTTACAACGGCTGGACGTTGATTAGAGCGTAATGCACATTTCTGCTAACGTTTAACAAGAAATGAGTCCGCGCGCTAAAGAAGCCGGTCAGAAACATGTAACGATGCAAGGTTCCGCATGCGCAATTGTGAATAATGTTTATCGTACAAGTGGTTATGAGCAAGACGCATCAACTATAAAGAACATGGTGAATAATATTATTCGTATTTATTTAATAATAACGCCACGGTAAATGTTCCCGCCTCAGATTAGCCTCTGGCGGAACCAATGACAGACGAATCTTGAAGCACAGTCAAAGAGTACAAAAAATAAAGATAGTGCCCACCCATACAAACCCTTACAGAGAACATGAAGGGAGCGTTCGTAAAATAAATGAATACACATGATTTCATATCTTTGTTGTGTATGTGGTATTCCTGTAGGTTAATCCCTTTAGTGCTCATTATATTTTCACATTCAAAAAGACTCCTTATTGTTATTGCCTATGGTTTTTCATTCATGTTTGTGAGGTTTTTGATGGTAGCCTTCTCCACTTGCAGTTTGTGATGATTTGCCTGAGGGGGGCTGAAGCACAGAACTTTTGTAGAATTTATGCAGCAGGTTTTAGTCCCCTGTGAAAGGTACTGAGATGGCTTCTGGTGTTCTTGATGGTTTATCTTGTTTGTTGACCCTGAGTAGAGCCACTATAGGTACTGAAGGATTCATATGGGCTTGATACTGCACTGCAGCTGAGAGATCACTTTTGATTATTCTTTGGAGGGCCTCCCCTTTTCTGTTGTATTTCCCTTGCCTTGCTGTAAGCCTTTACTTAGCAGTCCCCAGAGCTGTACTAATGAGGATCCCATTTTGTGACACTTCTGCAGCCTATTGTTTGTTTCACACAATTTGTGCAGCCTCATGTACTTACACTTTATGCATCGTGTAATTACTTATCGTGTTCATACTTTTTCTTTCATATTGCAGATTTAACTGAATTTATTTTATACTTCTCTATATGCTGTAATTAACATGTAGGCCTGTGTCTTTGCTTGTGTTTCCAGTGTTATCCTCACCATCCTGTTAGCCGCAGCTTCTGCCTCTCATGTATTATCAGAATGAATGACAACTAAATGAATGAATGACAATAAATAAAAAAAACTTGGGCTCCATTCAATACACACTGACTGTACAGTTTTTAGATAGCATGTCACTCTCTGTTTTAATGTGGCGTCATGCTTAACTCTGATATGCAGTCATTTAAATCTTGCTTTAACAACCACATGTCTAAAAAGTGAATCTCTTCAGCCAAATTTAGCTTTAGCAACTTACTAGAAGTTGTGGAAATTAACTCAGTACAATTATTCAGTTAGTGTATCTCGGTCTAATTTTGAGGATTTTTTTTTTTTTAATTTTCAGCCACTTAATCCTACTTCTGTTTTACCATATTTCAGAAAGAAATATTAAACTTTTCATTCCACTACATTTATTTTACAGCTGTAATAGTTACTTTACAAATAAAGATTTCAAACACAAAACATGTCATGATGATGTGTTTTGTTAATGATGAAACAGACCATGAACAATAGAAATTGCACATTTACCACTACAACAATAAAATCCTGCTTACATATTAATGTATTACTAATAATGATGAATGCATATAATATATAATAACACAACACTCTCACTGTGCAATAAGCATATTAAATCTATTTTTATATACTTTTAGATATTTTTTTTCTACCAATCAAATGGCCTTAAAGCCTACTATTTAATATTCAGTCATTGATATTTTAAATGTAAGACTTCAACTTATAATGGAGTATTTGAAAAAACAAAATAAAAAAACACAATCCTGTTATTTGTAATCAAAACATGTCAGTAGAGGAGGATGAAGTTTCTGGATATTTTGGCCGAAAGTAATAAATCTTTATTGAAAAATTCTCATGAGGCCAGCCAAACATAATATCAGAGAACATGGGCATGAAACTGAATAGAAGAAGAAAGAAAAAAAAGATTCGTCAGCCAAAATAAATAAAGGAAAAAATACTTGATGGAAAATGAATAAAGATACAAATTATATACAACACAAAAAAAGTTATTTGGTCTTCATTTGAGTGTAAACCATATCATTTTTAGGGTCTGTTTGTACATTTCTACACAGTTGAGTAGTACATTTGCATATTTAAAGTTAATACATTTTAGGGATTTGCAGTACATCAAATTATATTACTACAGAAAATTATAAAAAAGCTTTAAAGATGGGTGATGTTTTCATGGATTTAGCTTTGTGCATACAGTATTTGGCCATAATAACAGATTTTCTTGTCTTTCTTTCATAACTACTCCACAAATTACACCTACATGTGCACTGAGTGTTGGTACATTCTTTTGTTTAGATAATTTTTCTATTTTTTTCCGCCGAAATAATTGGAAATGACCACAATAACCAGATCGGGTCTCATTCTGCAGCGAAGCGAAGCCGGAAGTGGATCGGACTGAACCATCTCGCAGCGGCTACATAGTCTTTGGTATAAGTTTTGCTACACGCACACAGATGTCAGCAGAGTTTCTCAATCTGTCACTTAGGTAGGTGGAGTACGTTTGATGAGGGAAGGAAAAACTGGACACAGCCACCATGACTTTCTGACAACTCCCGTGAGCCGATGAACACCTCAACCGTTAGCGTGTTGCTCTCACCTTCCAACTGTCATACCTGTTAGCTGCTCTTTGCGTGATTTGACAACTGTGGAGCAACACCCATGCGCTTGTGTCAGAAGTTATAATGCTAACCCCCCGTTAGCTGCTGCTGCTGCTGCTGCTTCACGTAGCTATGCTTTGACTTGAAGCTGCCATCGAAAAGAGCGGTAAATTGACTGTAACGGCTGGTTTAGTTTTTATACTACGAAGTTAAGCGTCAGTTTGAGCAGTTTCCCCGTTGTTGTAAGCGAAGCCATCAATCTGTGACAGACATGGGACTACACCCGCTGGAATTCAGTGAATGCTATCTGGACAGCCCCCTCTTCAGGGAGAAAATCAAGGCACACGAAGCAGAGCTGGACAAGACCAACAGATTTATCAAAGAGCTGTACAAAGATGGGAAGAACCTCATCAATGCAACCAAGCGTAAGTTGATTTTAAAGTTGTTTAATGGCTGTGTTCAGTCACAGGAGTCATGCACATGCCCTGGGAGAGTATGGGGGTCTTCATGTTGGGACAACTTCTTCCTCAGGTTGCCAATAACTATGCTTTCCATTTGGTTGTGTTATAAATGCATAAATTAGCCATCTAATGCACCAACCAATGCACAAATGGTCAAATGATATGAGGCCTTTCTTATCTGCCCTAATCCTGCTTTCTCTTTTATTTTTTGTTTTGATGACATGTATTCATATTTAAGTCTGCACCAATAGGCCCTTAGTTTCCTTTTAATAACCCCCCTGCTGTATTTGCCCTCAGCCACACACCTCTACTGGGTTAAAATGATTAGATTGCTATCTGTTTGAACTCCAGTCTTGTGGGCTGGGCTTGTGTGCAAGGTGCTCACAGCCAGACTTCAACACACAGTCATCAGAATGTGGCCTGCTGTCACTGTGTGTAGTTGGAAAATCCCTAAGTCTCCCAATGCAGTGTTTTATGACTGCATTAAATCAACATGTTGTTAATCACATCCAGTTGCTGGAAGATTCGTTGCAGTTATGAAGCATCTATCCAATGTCAAAGCACTTCAGTCTAGTGTGAATGTAGTTTTGACACTGTTTTTTTTTTAGACGCATCATTGCTAATATTCTGGTATCAGTGCTGTGTTGTTGACAGATAGGCTTCAGGCATGTTCCAGCTGCTGCGCCACCATCAGTTATTGCTTCAGACTGTCACACAACATGTTTTTGTACTCTAAAAACCTCCAAACAGACTCACTTCATCGCTTTTGTTTTAATGCTTTTTTTTTAAATTTTAACTCTTGCAGCAGATTTTTATCAGCACATACATGGTTTGGAAACAGTATTGCACTGAAGAGTTAAAATCTCCAGCAACCAGCCCTGTCACGATACCTAGTTATCGACTTAAAGAGGCCAGCAAAATATTGTCAAGGTCACGTCCATAGAGCGTGCAGTGTTGCCTCTGTGTTTACATGTACATTTGTTACCACAATAATGTCATCAACGTGATGCTGGAATAAACAACAGGGTTTTCCCATCCATCATAACACTAAGGTGCAACACTTAAGCATTTTATTTTACAGAGAAATGGTTTGAAAATGACGATAATATCACAATAATATCGTCCGCCAAAAGCTGTTATCGTCACAGCAACACTTGTAGTAAGAACAATTCTTTTGTCAGACCATCGAATTTCAGCTTGTATCCTTCATCAGGCTCCAGGCCAGGGTCCAGAACATATTTCTCTGTACCTAAAAAACATCTAAAAAATGTGCATTGCCATGGTGAGTTCAACAATATTTCTCCACTTGAGGCATATTCAATCTGAAGTTGTCGTCATGAAGGGATTCAGCACCTGTTTGCAACATATTTAAGTATCCAAATGAAGCAGTAGTAGTATTTAAATGCCTCGTGTGTCAGGGAAACTACTCCATTGTTGACACCAGGCATGATGGATCTGTGGATTCAGGCTGTCTATGCACGTCACCCCTGCTATAGATTCAGTCTTGATCTTACAGTAGCTAACATGAGCTGCTGTAGCTCCCTCTGCGTCACACTGTCCTCCTGTACTGTAAATTACTGTCATACTGGACTGTTGTTTGCATAGTTGTTGTACCTGTTAGCCACCGCTCTCCTCTGACCTCTCTCGTCATGGTGAATATTCCCCCAAAACTTTAACTCTATCAAATATATAAACTTTAGATTGATTAGTTTATGTATAACTCTGAGGAAGGCAGTTGTTCTGAAGCTACATGATGATACCATGTGTTCAGCATTACCTAAATAACATACTTAAAAGCACCCTGACCTTGTCCTCATGCTTTCTTTCTACTCATGTTTCATTTACCTGCTTTGACTTACAGTCGGGAGACTACATGCCACTGTCTTGAGCCCCATTTTTTACAGCCACGTGGAGTTACCAGGCGAACTCCCACACAGCACCATGGTGAACTCTGGTATTCACTGGTGCCCACAGATGAGTTGATACTGATGCTCTGCTATGGTGGTGTAAATTGATCCGCGGTATCCTTTTTCGGGGGGGCATGTCATGTCTTGTGTTTCATGCCTTAAATGACTGTGACTACAGTATGCGTCACTTTTTATGACAACATAGTGACGTGTATCAGATATCAGGGCTGTTAACCCTCATTAGTTCTATGATAGCCTCTTGCCTCTGAGAATATGGCAAGAAATAGGGAACCGTGGTCATACCCTTCCTCTGGGAGTAGTGCAAAGTCAGTTGAAATTTCAGGAAGGAACTGACGGTCATGTACGTATGTACTGACATTTATGAAGTGCTCTCGTCTTATTTTGCTCAGCCAGTGGAGACCAATTTGGAAAATGTGACTTCTTCTAGATGTCTGTTTTTAAGATTGTTAAATCACTGTAATCATTAAGTGTTTACTCTCTAGAGCAACTTAAACATTATCCACATGCCACAGGAAAATAATAAAATATTTATGCCCATGGCCTGGCTGTTTTTGATGTTGTCAGTAAAAACAATACAACACTATTTACAAAGGTTTTTTTGTCCTTTGATATTTAATTTAAGGTGAGGCTGATGAATCCAAACTGGGCTGAATTGCTGTCAACTGTTTATGTTTGAGTAACGCTCATATTGAAGGTAGAGCTGAAAGAATAAGTCAATCAGTGGAAAACTAATCTGTGTCACTTTTAATAATCGATTAAAGTAATTTTATAAGGTCCCACATTGTAAAAAGTGTTTAAATGAAGGAGGTATAGGTGCTATCAATACTGGGAAAAATCAAAATTCTCAATCCACAGAGAAATGCACACAGTCTGTATACAGAAACTGTGCCTTAAAACGAGCCGTCAGGACTTAAGTGAAATTGTAGTGTCACAACTATACAATGACAAGTAAGAAACTGCTGCTTTAGTGTGATGTGGAAGATGTGGAAGACCCAGAATTGCTGACCAATCATAGCAGACTTGGCTTATTTATGAGGGGGGGCTTACAAAGATAGGCGCTAAAACAGAGTGATTTGGACAGAGGTTGAATACAGGTATATTCAGGCAGACAGCAGGGTTTCCCACACATTCATTTATTTGTGGCAGCCCGCCATGATTAAAGCATCTGCCGCCACGTTTTGATTTTCTATTTTTGGAGCTGGAATTTTGATTAGGTTCGCTATTGGAATACCGCCTGGTTATTGATTGCTCTACATTCCAGTTTATAAACATGTTCTAGTAGAAACCTTAAAGTATGACCTTGAAAATGAGCATAATATGGGAACTTGAAGGAAAAATGCCCAGGCATTTGCTGGTTCTAGCATCTCAAATGTCCTGCTTTTCTAAAGGCCCTGACACACCAAGCCAACAGTCACCGTTAGGCAAGCGGTGTGTCCCACAACCGTTGGCCCTTGTCGACCCTTGCCAGCTTTTTTTTTTCAGATGATTTAGCATGTTAAATCAGTGTTGGAGACTGGGGTTGTCAAAAGTATCAATACTCTGAAAAGTATCGATACTCAAACGCTGTATCCGGATACAATACTAATTTACAAAAGTATCGATACTAACAGTGCATGCCACGGGTGCGCGCGACGGGTCCGAAGGACACGCGCTGTGCAGGCAGCGTCTGGCAGGCACAGAGCCCTCGCTGCAACCCGGCTTGTTGTCGTCGCTGTGCATGCATGCACACATTTCTGTTGCTGTAATATGGCCAGCGCGGCTGCAGGAGGATCAGAGCAGCCAGTTTTGGTAAAAAATGATAAAGGAAAAAGCACTCTTTGGAAATATTTAGTGAAGTGAACACAGCACGCTGCAGACGGCAGGTAAAGCCCCTCCCCTCACTAGCAGCTGAGCAGCTGGTGTCGCCAGCATCAAACTAAAATATAACTTCTAACGTTAATGTGGGAGCTAAGCAGAAAACTTTATCAGTCATGCCCGTCTGTAACATTAATAGACAATGTTAGTTTAACAGGACAACACAATTATGTGTGTCTGAAAAGTTATGTTAACTGTAAAGTCACAGATTGAAGCTGAAAAAACGTTTGGTTTCTCCCGTAACACCTGGTTCTCTGATCACATAGTGACGTAGAAACAGGAGCATCCTGAGCCTAAACTACCAACTCTATTTGATCAGCAACGAAAACATGGTGCCAATTCACCAGAAGCACAGAAAGTAAACAGGGCTGTAGATAAATACATTTGTATGGACAGATCTTGTGTCTGGTTGTTATTTATTTTGGGGGGATTTTTTGTTGTTATCATTGATGTTACTGTTCTGATCTTTTTTTAAAAAATGACATGCCTCTTAAATTTTTGCTGCTGTATTGAAAATGGTATAGAGTATTGAATATTTTCCTGGGTATCGATATCGAGTTTGAAATTTTAGTATCGTGACAACCCTATTGGAGACAGTGGTGCCCATCAGTGAATGAAAATCACTCTGATTGGCAGTTTAGTTCAGTGCACAAGAAGAGAAACAGAAGTGAGGAAAGTAAACAAACCGCTAAAGTCAAGAGGGAGTTAGATCAAAACAAACTTGTTACATAGGGTAAGATTATTTTTCTTTAGCCATTGAGCTTTTTAGCAGAAATGTTTTGTTTGTTGTTGTTCACTGGTGCACTGTAAATATTCTCTTTTCTTTTAACATTGGATTGGTTTGTTACGTGCCAACTAGTGTGCCAACTAGTGTTCCTGTTTCCGTTTTTGAATGCTGAATACAGACTACTGCCATCCGCTGGTGTGGAGAGGAGAGTTATTTGGTGTGGAGAGTTATTTGTTATGTTCATGTGCAACTTTCTGGCTGAGGCACAGGTGACATGAGGTGAAGCAACAGTTGTATTACGCTGCCGCTATTTTTGGTGTAGTGTGTCTGGGCCTTTTGTGTTACATAGTAGTAAACTTGATATTTTTGAGTTTGTTGTTGTTAGTACAAAAATAATCTTTGGCTCAAGGAACATGTGACCAAACAGTTGACAATAATAAGATAATCTAATTGTT